GATCCCCCCCGGCCCCTCCGGCAGCTTCCAGCGACATTCCCGGCCTCGGGAGCTCCAGCCCGGCGGCTCTAGATGGCAGCAGCTCCCCGCCGCTCCCGCCGCAAGCTGGGGACCCCCAGGTGGGTTGGGGGACACCCCCAGACCCCGAGCCCGGCCCCAAACTCGGTTATTTGGGATTCGGGGTGCTCCTAAATTAAGTTAGGAAAGACCCCCGCGCTCGTGGAGTCCCACGGTGAGCATGCGGTGCTCGAGGAAGAGAAGTGAGGAGGAAGAGAAAGGAAGAGGATGAGGAGGAAGGGCGTGAAGCAGCAAAGCCCCTCACCGTCCTCAGCAGACCCCGGGAATAAAAGGGGGGACAGCACCGTGAGGGCCACACGAGCTCCGGCTACCTCTGCAAAGCCTGGGCTGGCGAGGGGACAAAAGTGGCGCCCCAGGTGACGGCCAGGAGCAGCAGGCAGCGCCGCAGGCTCCTGCTGGGTGCCACCGCCATCGTGTCCCCCGCTGTCCCCTCCCTGCCGGCGGCGCCGTCCCGTCCCTTCCCGCAGGGCTGGAAGCTTTTATAGCCCGGGATCCTCCATCCCTGCGGGATTCTCCTCCCCTGGCAGGGGCAGGGCTGGGAATGGCGTGGAGAGCACCGGGAATGGCATGGATAGAACTGGGCAGGCTGGGAATGGCATGGAGAGCACTGGGCAAACTGGGAATGGCATGGATAGAACTGGGCAGGGTGGGAATGGCATGGATGGAACTGGGCAGGCTGGGAATGGCATGGAGAGCACCGGGAATGGCACGGATAGAACTGGGCAAACTGGGAATGGCATGGAGAGCACTGGGCAAACTGGGAATGGCATGGAGAGCACTGGGCAAACTGGGAACGGCATGGATGGAACTGGGCAAACTGGGAATGGCACGGATGGCACTGGGCAGACTGGGAATGGCACGGATGGCACTGGGCAGACTGGGAATGGCATGGATGGAACTGGGCAGGGTGGGAATGGCATGGAGAGCACTGGGAATGGCATGGATGGAACTGGGCAGACTGGGAATGGCATGGATGGAACTGGGCAAACTGGGAATGGCATGGAGAGCACTGGGAATGGCATGGATGGAACTGGGCAGACTGGGAATGGCATGGATGGCACTGGGCAGGGTGGGAATGGCATGGATGGCACTGGGCAGGCTGGGAATGGCATGGAGAGCACTGGGAATGGCATGGATGGAACTGGGCAGGGTGGGAATGGCATGGATGGCACTGGGCAAACTGGGAATGGCATGGATGGAACTGGGCAGACTGGGAATGGCATGGATGGCACTGGGCAAACTGGGAATGGCATGGATGGCACTGGGCAGACTGGGAATGGCATGGATGGCACTGGGCAAACTGGGAATGGCATGGATAGAGCTGGGCAGGGTGGAATGGCATGGATGGAACTGGGCAGACTGGGAATGGCATGGATGGCACTGGGCAGGGTGGGAATGGCATGGATAGAGCTGGGCAGGGTGGGATGCCATGGACAGCACTGAGCAGGGTGGGAATGCCATGGAGAACACTGGGCAGGTGGTTGGGACAGTCCCCACGGAGGGTGGCAGGGCCAGGATGCCCCCTGTGCCCCGTGCCAAGGGGAGCTGTGGATGTTTGAGAGATGGATCCCACATCCCACGGGGCTGATTGCTCCCGAATTACTCCACTCTCCAGCACAGCATGTGAAGGGCACAAATCCCTGCTGGTGCCACCTGGGAGAGCTGATGGGGGTCGCTGGGTGGTGGCACAGATCTGGGTGACATCCTGGCCAAGGAGATGTCCCCAAACTCCAGCTGCAGATGGGATTTTCCCCCAGGGGAATGGGAATGGCAAAGGACACTCAGCCCTGCTGGCCATGGAGACACCGAGTGAGGACCCCCCCAGCCCCCTCTGCCCTTTGGGGGGTGCTCTGGGGAACCCCCCCAGCCCCAGCTCTGGAGCTCCGAGCAGGGAACAGCCAAACTCATCCCAGCTGCTCCTTACGGGGCCAGATCCTGGTGTTTGGGGTGGGAGACGCTGCTCAAAACCCTCAGGGGCTTCCAGCTGCACCCCTGGCCCCCCTGCAGGCTGCTGTGCCTCCCTGGCAGTGCCCAGCCCGGGTGAGGGTGCTGCATCAGCGCCGCCGCTCCCAGGGTCTCCTGACCTCGGGAATCTCAGTGGGAAATTACCCCAAAGGCAATAAAAATGTTCTTGGAAGAACCCTGAGGACGCATTCCCCCCCATCCCCAGCCCAGCCCCACGATCACCCTCCTGCTTATGGGATTTGTTCTTGGAAGAGCCCTGAGGAACACATTTCCCCCCAGCCCAGCCCCACAATCACCCTCCTGCTTATGGGATTTGCTCAGGGCCCTGCTGTCACCCCAGTCCAAGGCACACCCCACAAACTCCAAACAACTTTCTCCCCAAACCGGACATTTACCGCCTCATTCCCTGTGGGATTTTGGCTGCCAGGGCACTGCTGACCCCGGCAGGCCCCAGGGCTCAGCCCCACGGGGCTCTGCCCCCATCCCTGACGTCTTTTCCCACGCAGGACCCGTGTCCCTGCGTCACTCCAGGCAGCCTCGTGGCCGGCGCAGGTTGCGGGGAGGGAGCGGGGGTCAGAAGCTGAGAGGCTCTGGCAGGGAGCCCACGGCTGTAAATCCCTGCCCGGGCATCCCACGGGCTCTGCCAAGCTCCGTTCCCCACAGGAAAAGCCACGGGTGCAGCAGGACTTCAAAGGAAAAGGGGTCCCCGTTGGTGGGGATCTGAATTTCCAGCCCCTTCTGGTCCAGAGCAGCCACATTTGTGGGATTCCTTGAGGATTTGGGGCTTCAAAAGGAAAAGGGGTCCCCATTAATGGGGATCTGAATTTTCAGCCCCTTCTGATCCAGGGAAGCCACATTTGTGGGATCCCCGAGGATTTGGGGTATTCTGGACATGGCCACATCTGTGGGATCCCTGAGGATTTGGGGCTTCAAAAGAAAAAGGGGCCCCATTCATGGGGATCTGAATTTCCAGCCCCTTCTGGTCCAGGGCAGCCACATTTGTGGGATCCCTGAGGATTTGGGGTATCCTGGGCATGGCTTTGTCCCAGCAGGCACAGCTGGACCCCTCTCCTGTGGGGCATCCAGGGTGGGATGAGCTGGGAAGGGCAGTGGGATGGGGGAACCAGAGGGGCACAACCCTTCCCTGCCACTGGGGTGGCCCCAAAACGCCCTTGGATGGGAAATGGGGGGAAAATGGGCAAAGTGACTTCCCCAAATCCATCAGAGAGCCAAGGGCTGCTGCTCTGGGGCGGCCACCGGGGTGGCTGTCCCAGCTCCAGGGCTCTGGGATGTCCCCAGCATGGGACACTTTTCCAGTTCTGGGAAAACCCCCTCAAGGAATTTCCCAGCCCCTCGTGCTGTGATGGAAAAGGCTTAAAAAAACCTGGAAAAGTGTTTTTGGGGGTGTCAGAGGGACAGGGACATGGGAGGGAAGGGGACAGGGATATCAGACAGGTCTGGGACAGTGCTGGGTTCACTCCCAGCCCTTCAGATCCACAGGGAAGATCCTGAACTCTTCCCATGCAGCCCCAAAACGTCTCCCTTAAGTGGAATTTTCAAGCAGAGGAGGTTCCAGGGCTTCAGGGAAAGGCAGGAATCCCTCACTGGATCCATGTGGGGAACCTTGCTCCAAAATCCCGGGGTTTTATCCAATTATGGATCCCATCAGGAGCAGCTCCTCTGGAAATAGCAGGGAATTTTCCAGTTATTTTCCTGGCTGTTTTTCAGGGAGAATGGAAGGAAAACATTTCCCAGAGAGGAACAATCGCCTTCCCCATGGATAAATTCCTTCTTCTCTCCTGCTAGGCTGTGTGGGTGCTTTCCTTAAAATAAAATCCAAATTCTTTAGCTCTTTCCACTCCAAACAAAATCATTGTGAAGTTTGGCCAAACAGCTTTGATTTCCTGAGGGATTTTTTTTTTGCAGCAGCAGCACAGAAAATGGAGGTGAATTTCTGCTCTTCCCTCACATTTTCCACACTTTTCTAATCCAGTATTTTGCTGCTGGTAAAGCACACGAGGCTTGTGAGGATCCTCATTCCGGGTGACCAAAAAGCTCCAGGGTAAAATCAACTTTTGGGAAGGGCTTAGGGGAGGCTCTGGATGGCACCGGCACCGGGGGGAATTCGGGGATTGACGTCAGGGCAAACCCAGAGCTGGTTCTTGAAACCAAAACCCCTGCCAGAGAGAGGATTTACTGAGCTGGAGGGGGAAACATTCCTGGGAAAATCCTTCGGGAGAGGAGCTCTGAGGAGGGAGCTCCCAGCCCTGGAAAAGCTGTGGGGGACGGGGACAGCCCCAAAATGGGGGTCAGGTTTTGGGGGTCACAGGCACGGAGGGGATGGGTTTGTGGGTTGGAGAGATGGGGATGGGGATGGGGTGGGAGGAAGGGAAGGGGTGGAGGATCCTGGAGGAGATGGGGAGGGATGGAAGGAAGGGAAGATCCTGGAGAAGCTGGACCGGGAGGGTGGGAAGGAGATGGATGATCCTGGACTGGCTGGGATGGGAAGGAATGGAGGATCCTGGAGGAGATGGGGAGGGATGGAATGGAGGATCCTGGAGGAGATGGGGAGGGATGGAATGGAGGATCCTGGAGGAGATGGGGAGGGATGGAATGGAGGATCCTGGGGGAGATGGGGAGGGATGGAATGGAGAAAGTGTCTGGGTGGGGTTTGGAGCAACCTGGGGTAAGGGAAGGTGTCCCATGGCAGGGAGTGGGATGGATGGGATGGGATGGGATGGATGGGATGGGATGGGATGGATGGGATGGGATGGGTGTGAAGATCCTTAAAACCCTAAATCATTCCATGATTCTAGGGTTCCTCAAAAGCTGTGGAGAACGGCACGTTTCTGTTTTCTTGGCAGTTTTCTGTTCCCCTTGGGATGCCTTTTGCACTGTGCCTGGAATTCTGGGCTTTCTCTTTTAAAAACCCAAACCCTAACCCCAGCTGTAACCATAACCCTGACCCTAGGCAATAAACCCAGCCTAAGGCTAAGGCTGATTCCAAGGAAAAAGCTGTGGAGGAACCCCCCAGCCACGGGAATGTCCCTGTGCCACCTCCAGCCATGGCCACGATGCCTCCTGGTGACATTGGGAGGGTGCCAGCGCTGGGACAAGCCCTGAGCCAAGGGAAAGGAGCCGAGTCTGAGCTCACTGTCAGATATTTTTTTATTAAATTAAATCTTTCACAGAAAATAATTAAATAACTGCAAGAATTCCAGAATCCAGCCTGGTACAGCCCTTGGAGCCCGGAGCCTGGCTCAGGAGCCCTGTGGGACAGTGAGGGGACACTGTCCCTGCTGGGGGGTGGCTCTGGCCAGCACTGAGGGTCCTAGGGACAAAAGAGTCCCCAGCTCTTGGGCATAGCCAGACCTGGGGCTCTCTCACCCTGTCCCATCGCAGCCACTCGGCCCAGACTGGTCAGGTCACACCATGGAGCCGCTGTCCCCCCATTTTCTGCAGGAGCTGCAACAGGGACAGACCAGGATCAGCGGGAAAATCCACCTGGTCAGCTCTGGGGACACCACGGTGACATTTCCTGTGCAATCCCATCCGTGGGGACAGATCCCAGCCAGGGACTGCCCATTCCAAGGGGCACAGGGGGATGGATCCCAGCTGGGCACTGCCCACCCCGAGGGGCACAGGGGGATGGATCCCAGCCAGGCACTGCCCATCCCAAGGGGTCTCCAGCCTCCTCTTACCTGGCTCAGCAGGGGGATGTTTGCCAGAGAGCCCAAAAACCCAAAAGCCACTGGGAAGAAGCTCCTGTGGGGACACAAAAGGTCCTGCTGAGCTCTGGGGAGCATCCCCCAAGCTCAGGCTCTATCCCGAGGATCCCCATCCCAAGGATCTCATCATGAGGATCCCATCCCAATGATCCCATCCCAGGGATCCCATCCCAGGGATCCCATTCTGAGGATCCCATTCCCAGGATCCCATCCCAGGGATCTCATCCCAGCGATCTCATCCCAGGGATCTCATCCCAAGGATCCCATCCCAGGGATCTCATCCCAAGGATCCCATCCAGGGATCTCATCCCAAGGATCTCATCCCAGGGATCCCATTCTAAGGATCCCATTCCCAGGATCCCATCCTGAGGATCCATGCCCAGGATCCCATGCCCAGGATCTCATCCCAGGGATCCCATGCCCATGATCCCATGCCCAGGATCCCATCCCAAGGATTCCATCCCAGTGGTCTCATCCCCAGGATCTCATCCCAAGGATCTTATCCCAGGGATCCCATGCCCAGGATCCCATCCCAGGGATCCCATGCCCAGGATCTCATCCCAGGGATCCCATGCCCAGGATCCCATCCTGAGGATCCCATCCTGCACCTGAAGAGGGAGATGAAGCCGTAGGCCTCCAGCAGCATGCCCAGGATCGGCCACCGCATGAGGACCACAATGAGCCCCCCGAAGAAGAAGCTGGTGCCCTTCAGCTTGGGCCGCTGGAAGAAGAAGGTGAAGGTCCTCCGGAAGCCGATGATGAAGACCAAGCCAGAGAGGAAGAGGAGCTGGGAGGAGGAGGGGAGAGGGTCAGGGCTGCTCCTTGATCCCCCTGTGGGGATCCCAGGCCGGCCCTACTCACGTTCCCAAAAGCCAGGAGCACCGAGTCGAAGTACAGGAGGATCCCAAAGAGGAGGAAGAAGAGGCCGAAGCCGACCAGGCCCACTCCGATCCCTGTGAAAACGGGCGAGCAGAGGCAAAAGCTCCACACCTGGGATCCCAGCACCTCCCTGTCCCGCTCCTTCCCAAAAATACCCTTTGGGCTTTTCGCCCAAATCTCAGGACCAGCCTTGGCACCCAGGCCAGGCCTGGAGGAGGCCGTTGGTGCTCCAGAAACCCCCCAAGGGCATCAGATAAATCAGGAACCGCAAAGGAAAACTCCACGGGAAATCCCTGCCCAGCCTTTCCCCGAGCCTTTCCCTTTCCCCTTTCCTCCAGGAAAAGCTGGAGATGATCCCTGGATGATCCTGGAGAATCTCCCCACCCCCAGCCCATCCCCTTTTCCATCTCACCCCTCCCTGCCCCAACCACCCCACTCAGGGAGGATCCCAGACAGGACTGGGATGTGCCAAAGGTCCCCACGGAGCTCCCGGATCCTGAATTCCAGCCGGGACAGGAATTCCAGCTGGGACACGAGACCACCCCGTGCCTGCTTACGCTGGAAGTCGCTCAGGGACACCATCTTGGCGGTGACGGGGCTGGGCGAGGCCGGGCGAGGGTGGCCCCGCTTGCAGAGTGACCCTTGGAAAAGCCCTTTAGTCCCCACGTCATCCTGGGAATCATTAACGGCCCGGGAACGCCCACGGTGCCACCTCCGGGGGGGGGACACGGTGGCTCCAGGGGACATGGTGGCTCCAGGGGACACGGTGGCCCCAGAAGGGACACGGTGGCTCCAAGGGGACACAGTGGTTCCAGGGGGACATGGTGGCTCCAAGGGGGATGCGGTGGCCCCAGGTGAACATGGTGGCTCCAAGGGGGACACAGTGGTTCCAGGGGGACATGGTGGCTCCAAGGGAACATGGTGGTTCCAGGGGACATGGTGGCTCCAGGGGGACACAGTAGCTACAGAGGGACATGGTGGCTCCAGGGGGACATGGTGGCTCTAGGGGGGGACAAGGTGGCTCAAGGGGGACAAGGTGGCTCCAGGGGGACAAGGTGGCCTCAGGTGGACATGGTGGCTCCAGAAAGGACACAGTGGTTCCAGGGGGACATGGTGGCTCCAGAGGGACATGGTGGCTCAAGGGGGACAAGGTGGCTCCAGGGGGACAAGGTGGCCTCAGGTGGACATGGTGGCTCCAGAAAGGACACAGTGGTTCCAGGGGGACATGGTGGCTCCAGAGGGACATGGTGGCTCCAAGGGAACATGGTGGCTCCAAGGGGACATGGTGGCTCCAAGAGGGGACACAGTGGTTCCAGGGGGACATAGTGGCTCCAGAAAGGACACAGTGGCTCCAGAAGGGACACGGTGGCTCCAAGGGGACACGGTGGTTCCAGGGGGACATGGTGGCTCCAGAGAGTCATGGTGGCTCCAGGGGGGACAAGGTGGCTCGAGGGGGGACATGGTGGCTCCATCAGGGACATGGTGGATCCAGGGGGACGTGGCGGCTTCATGTCACAGTTTTGGAGACAGCACCTCCACAAGCACCAAACCCAACCATAGTGGGAAAACAAATCCCAAAAAACCAGGGAGAGAGAGGAGCAGCTGCCTCTGGAGCCCATCACCCCCTGCTTCTCCAACCCAACGCTAAAATCCACATCCAAGCCCACTCCCAGGAATAAAAGACAGGAGAATGTTGTTGTTTCATAGATATTTTTATTTCTCTACTGCTAGGAAAATATCCCAGAAAACCAAAGCCTCCCGTCCCACCCTCTCCAAATGCATAAATAGATTTATTTATTTATTTATTTCCTCCCGATGCAATCCTTTCCGGGTTAACAAGTCACTGCTTTATGAAGTGTTTATGAAAATAATAACCAAAATAAAATTAATTGATTGAGGTTTGGTTTCCTTTTTTTTTTTATTATTGTTTTTTTTTTTTAAATAAAATAAAATAAAATAAAATCGCGGCCGGGTCATACTTTGGGGACAGCAGCTGGTGGCTTTGGGGAAGGGCAGGGTGGATGCTTTGGGTCCTGGAGAGTTGCCCAAAGGGACCAAAGCTCAGGGGAGTTGCTGCCCCACAGCCACCTCAGGATGTCCCCAAGGCGTCCCCAGAGTAAGGGGGGGGGTCTGCCCCAGTGACCCAAGAGGGGACACAGGGAAATAAACTCATCCTCTCTTCAAACTTACAGTCTCTGTATATTTTATTTTAAATAAATTTGCTTTTAATAAAAGCAGAAAAAATAGATATATTTTTTAAATAGGTTTTTTTCCTTTTTTTTTTTTTCTTCTTCTTTTTTTGGTTTTTTTTTGTTTTGTTTTGTTTTTTTATTTCCTTCCCCCTCTGATAAATTGGTAAAGAATTTTTTTTTTGTTTATTTGTTTTGTTTTGTTGGCGGGGCTGGCGCCAACAAATCCTGCGGAGAAGAGAGAGCTCGGCACGAGCTTTTTCCCGGGAAAAGAAGAGGAAAAACCAAATATAGATATATATTATAAATGTAGAATTTCCATCAAACATATATTAAGGCATGTAAATAGCAAAATAAAGGGCCAGCTTTATGAGCTAAAAAGGGGCTGAGGGAGGCTCAGATGGGAGCAGGGTTTAGGGCTCCAGGGATCCTACAAGTATTGCTAAGTTGGGATTGGGATGCAGGGAAGTCCTGGGGGTTTGGGATGGGGCCAGGAGGGATGGATGGGATTTGGGGTTGGAGATTTGGGATCCAGCTCCTGGCCCCTGCCATGCTCACATCCTTCCAGGGATTCTGCTTCTTTCCCACTCTCCGGGATGATAAAGAAAAGGGGGAATTTGCTACAGGAAATCCGAACCGCTGGAAGGGGCTGGAGAGCCGTGGGAAGGGATTTTTGGAAGGTGACAGCAGGTCCCCAGGTGACACCTCTGTCCCCAGGTGACACCTCTGTCCCCAGACCCCTCCTCAGCACCGTCCCCACCCTCCGGAGGGGGTCCCTGCCGACCCCGTTATCCCACCTGGCACCCCAATTCCCTGCTCTGCCCCCATCCCTGCCCAGAGCTCCTGCTCCGTGCTTGGAGAGCCCTTGGAGCGCCCTGGGCACCTCCGTGTCCCCCCAGTGCCACCTCCATCCGTCCTGTCCCCTCTTCCTCCGGCTGAGCCACCGGGGGTGACACAGACGGGTTCCAAAATCAGGGTCAGAGCCCAGGGAGGGGAAACGGCGCCCGAGGAGCCGAGGGGGAGCAGCCAGGTCCGCTGGGAGGTGGCAGCACCATCCGTGCTGGGGACAGGGGGGTCCCCACCCCAAGAGCCCCTTCACAGAGCTTGGGGGGCTGTCCCAGGAGTCCTGTGCTCGCCACGGGGTCGGTGGCCACTGTCACAGCTGTCCAGGTGTATCCTGGTGGCCGCTGTCACAGCTGTGTCCCTGTGGCCGCTGTCACAGCTGTGTCCCTGTGGCACTGTCACAGCTGTCCAGGTGTATCCTTGTGGCTGCTGTCACAGCTGTGTCCCTGTGGCCGCTGTCACAGCTGTGTCCCTGTGGCACAGTCACAGCTGTCCGGTTGTGTCCCTGTGGCCACTGTCACAGCTGTGTCCCTGTGGCACAGTCACAGCTGTCCGGTTGTGTCCCTGTGGCTGTTGTCACAGCTGTCCAGGTGTATCCTTGTGGCTGCTGTCACAGCTGTGTCCCTGTAGCCACTGTCACAGCTGTCCAGGTGTATTCTGGTGGCCACTGTCACAGCTGTGTCCAGGTGGCCGCTGTCACAGCTGTCCAGGGGTGTCCCTGTGTCCACTGACAGCCCTGGGGGCTCCTTGGGGACAATCCCAGTCCCCCTCCCATCTCCTTGGGACGTGGCTCCCGTCGGTGCCACCTCTCCCGCTGGTGTCGCCGCCGGAGGGAGGGAAGGGGGTCTGGGAGAACCGAGGACGGTGGCGAGAGGTTCGGTGTCACCTCAGGAGGGGACTAAAACGTGGCCCCGTGGAACTTGATGGCGCCGGCAGCAGCCAGGGCTTGAGCTGGTGGGGGGGACAGGACAGAGGGGCTGAGCTGGGGGGGCTCCACCCTGTGCCCACCCCCCATGGGAAACGCGGCTGGGATTTGGCTCCAAGGAGCCGGGGGAGGCTGGAACCCCCCGGTTTTCATGCTGGGACCCCCCCTTTTCCCCATTTGGCCTTGGGGGCTCAGCTTTGGTGGGGGGGGGTACACGGTCCATGGAGGAGCCGGGGCTGACGTGGCAGCGAGGGGATGGAGGGGATGACGTCAGAGAGAAGAGGTGCTTACGTCACAGGCTCACACCCGCATGAGGTGGCTGCTGTCGGCCCGGGGCGGCTCGGACGAGAGGGGGTTGGTCGGTGGAGTCGGGGAGGCTGGGGAGGTGGGAGGGCTGGGGGTGGCGCACTGAGCTGGAAACGAGAAACGGGAGAGCGGGGTGAGGGACACGGGAGAGGGGAGGGGACAGCGGAGGGGACAGAGCAGAGGGGACAGAGCAAAGGGGACAGAGCAAAGGGGACAGAGCGGAGGGGACAGCGGAGGGGACAGAGTGGAGGAGACAGAGCAAAGGGGACAGAGCGGAGGGGACAGTGGAGGGGACAGGGAGGAAGGGACAGAGCAAAGGGGACAGCAAGGAGGGGACAGCGGAGGGGACAGAGTGGAGGGGACAGAGCAGAGGGGACAGAGCAAAGGGGACAGCAAGGAGGGGACAGCAGAGGGGACAGCAAGGAGGGGACAGAGCGGAGGGGACAGCGAGGAGGGGATAGAGCGAAGGGGACAGCAGAGGGGACAGCGAGGAGGGGACAGCGCAGAGGGGACAGAGTAGAGGGCAGGGGCAGGGAGGAAAGAGAAAGGAAAGGGGGGAAGCAAGCGCAGGTTGGGCAGAATCACAGCTGGCAGGGCAGAGTCTCAGCTGGCAGGACAGACAGGCACAGCTGGGCAGGACAGACAGGCACAGCTGGGCAGGATAGAGCCACAACTGGCAGGAAAAGCAGCCACAGCTGGGAAGGACAAACAGCCGTGGCTGGGCAGAGCTGAGTCACAGCTGGCAGGACAAACAGCCACAGCTGGCAGGGCAGTCACAGCTGGCAGGAGGGACAGAGAGGGACAGCTGGGCACAGCACGCACACGTGAGCTCCCGGCAGGGCTCCTCATGGACAAGGCACGGTGTGGCACCATGGGCACCCAGGCACGGTGTGGCACCGTGGGCACCCGGGCACAGTGTGGCACCATGGGCACCCAGGCACGGTGTGGCACCGTGGGCACCCAGGCACGGTGTGGCACCGCAGTCAGCCAGGTGCAGGATGTCACCGTGCTCACCTGGGCACAGCGTGCCACCACAATCCTCCCCCAGAATGAAGCGCCACCATGCACGGCCACAGGGTGCCAGCCTGTGCCACCACAATCCCTCTGGCAAGGGGTGACACCACAGTTCCCCGGGCATGGGTGACACCGCAGCCTCCCTGCGTGGGGTGCCACCGTGCCTGCTCAGCCACCTCATGCCATCTCATGCCATCTCATGCCCCCTCATGCCACCCAGCCAGGCACTCCCACCCTCGTGCTGGAACGTGGGCAGCCCCAGGTGTGGCAGGCAGGCCCAGGAGCTGTTGGCATCACCTGTCCCC